ATTTGATATTCATTTCTACATCAATCAGTTATGAATTCTACAATCTAATAAATCCCAATATACAACTACTTATCACATTTTCCCCCTCAAATGCCCTGGTACTGCCGAGAGTGGGTAATGCCCTCCCTCCCTCTCAGAGTGCTCTCATATGGCCACACGTATACAGCCTCTGCCAGGGAAGTCCTACTCACTGCCTTCTCGTGGCGGGGGTGTTGTTTACAAAACTGAGAGGACGAAAAGCGAGTGTCCGGCGCTTTAACCGGATTCCAAACCAATGGTGCACATGAACTCCAGTATCCTGAGGGAACAAGTGGCGTATGAACCAATTGTTGATCACCGGCTACCATGGGACTGCATCTCCTTACGATGCTCCACTGCCTTGTGGATCAGACCTTTAGGTCAAAGGCTCGGGGTGTGGCCCCGTAAGAAAACCACCTTCTTTGGTCTGGGCACTCGGGCAATAGCACAGCCAACAAACAAATATGATGAAATGTCGATATTTATGGAAAATACTTTTCTTGCTTCGATTAACAATCAAACGATTCACATTATCATTATTATTGTTACTATTATTTACTACGTCATTATTCACCCTCTTCTATTCCCACTCTGTGTATCCTTATTTTTCGACTTATACAACAGCTCGCCTATGGTGGAAACTCGGTTCTATCTAAACGTCCTCAAGTCACTGCCTGGTTGAAAATTGAATGCTACCACCAAATACGAATACTGAAGCAGCTTTTCTGAAACCACGTGCATCATTCAAACTGACTGCCTTCAACGTTCGCACATTTATGCAGGTCGGACAACAGATAGGGCTGGCTATGTCTTTGGAAAGTCTTAATATCGACGTTTGTTGTCTATCCGAGACCCGTATCAAGACTCTGGTGAAGTACCACAAATTCGATCTCCATCTGTCGATTCAAAAAGCTTTTTTCACGTGCGCTTATCCGGGGACCCTGTGTCATCTTCGTCTGGTCTTGCTGGCGTTAGTGTCGCACTAAGCGCTAGACCTGAGGCAGCACTAATCGACTGGATCCCCATTAACAGTCGGTTATGTGCTGTTAGCTTAGAGAGTTCCATCAAAGTGAGGAGAAATCGGCGTGAGAAACGATGTGTTTTCGTCATCTCCGCCTATGCCCCGACAGATTGCAGCCCGGATGCAATCAAGGATGAATTCTACCACCAATTATCTGTTCTTCTCCAGAAAGTGCGTTCGACAGATATTGTAGTACTAGCCGGAGACTTGAATGCTCAGGTCGGGCGTCTAGGAACAGAAGAGGATCGTTTAGGTGGCCGATGAGGATATGTTGGTAGCAGGACAGATAACAGGGACTGTCTACTGCAACTGAGCACAGACCACAACTTGTTTCTAGCTAGCACTAACTTTCGGCACAGTCATTGCCGATGTGCCACCTGGCGTCCTCCCTCTGCATCTCAAGCCTGGACTCAGATTGATCACATCGCGATCAGCTACCACTGGCGCGGTTGTGTACAAGACTGCCACTCCTTTTGGAGTACCTATCTGGACTCTGACCATGCCTTGGTCTGCGCCAATCTTGCCTTACTTTTCAGTGGACAACGAAGTGACCGCCATCAACGGATTGATATTAGCAAGCTGGTTGCAACTTCTGTTGCAAGTAAGTATCGAACCGAGCTAGCCTCTAGGCTAGCTACCATTCCACCGTAAAAGTATAGATGAGCATTGGTTGCAATTGCATGATCCCATGGAAATGGCGAGTGAAATCGTTTGCGGCTTCGCGAAACGTCCCGCTTATAAGCACTGGGTTTCTCCAGGCTCCTTGCAACTCATCGAAGCCCGTCGGTCTACTCCGGGTGACCTGGAGTTTGACCACAAACGAAGGATGTTACATAATGAAATTAGGCAAAGCTTGCGTAAGGACCGAGAAGCCTGGTGGTCGGAGCGTGCTAATGAGCTGGAAGCAGCAGCTGCGTCTGGTAACTACCGGAAGCTCTTCCAACTCATCCGAGCCACTGGCAGCAAGAAGTCTGGTGTGAGTGAAACAATCTGTGAGGAGGACGGGATGCCAATCACTAACATCCATCGACGTCTTGGACGATGGCCAGAATTCTTCGAAGGGCAGTTCAACTGACATGCTGCTCCGGCAAAATCGATCAGACTGTCCTGCCCTCCATGGCCAGTGACGACTGATCCATCAAATGAGGTGGAAGTCCGCAACTCTTGAAACGCTACAAATCACCGGGCCCAGATGACTTACGTCCTGCTCTTTTTAAAGATGGTGGACTTTCTAGTTAAGGAACTGACAACGTTGTTTACGAAGGTCTGGGAGCTAGAGAGTGTACCAATGTCATGGAATGAATCGATAGTTGTCTCCATCTTTAAAAAGGGTTCACGTCGTTCCTCTAACAACTATCGGCAGATAAGTCTACTTCCGATTGCGTCCCAGCTATTGGCTTCCGTCATACTTCGTAGGTTGTTCAAAACCCGAGAAAGATTGGCTTGCGAGGAGCAGGCTGGTTTATGTTCTGGTCGACGATGTATTGATCTGTGGTTTTTGAATGAACTGATGATTCCTTTTTACATGTTGAATGCTTGATTTCGAATTTCAAATACAGTACATTCGTTCGTGCTTGTCTAGTACTTCTTGATTCAATTGAGTTATTTCTGGGATTCTTAGTTTATACTATAATTCAAATACTCCTAATCATCATATGATCATATCTTCACCCTCCGCCAAATGTTAGAACACCGTCATACTTATCACGGGCCAACAATCGTAGTGTTTCTTGACATCAGGGCTGCCTTCGATTCGTTGGACAGGACTGTTGTCTGAGATTATCTATTGAAGAACGGTGTGCCTGAGTTTATTAACATCCTAAAAGCCCTGTATAAAAACACCTCAGGCAGAGTGAGGGCATACAACCACCTCTCTCCATTGTTCCATTCGAGCAGTGGGGTTAGGCAGGGTTGCCCAATCTCACCTTTCCTCCCCGACTTTGCCATCAATGAAGTCTTAGAAAAAGCTTTGGTGGATGTAAGTAGTGGTGGTGTGGATCTGTTGCCTGGAGAAAGACTTCTCGACCTTGAGTATGCGGACGATATTGTCTTATTGTACGATAATGCCCAAGGCATGCAATCCGCACTTAATTAGTTGGCAATCATTGTCCGTAGGTATGGTATGTGCTTTGCACCTTCGAAGTGCAAAGTACTTCTGCAAGACTGGCAGGATTCTAATCCTGTACTCACCCTGGATGGTGAGCAGATAGAAGTAGTCGAGAAGTTCGTGTATCTAGGTAGCTACATAAGTGCTGAAGGTGGCGTGAGTGATGAGATCAATCCACGTATAGTGAAAGCCAGAGCAGCTTATGCCAATCTGGGCCATCTTTAGAGCCTTCGTGATGTCAGTGTGGCTGTAAAAGGTCGAATCTACAACGCGTCGGTGAGAGCAGTTTTGCTCTATGCTTGTGAAACCTGGTCTCTCCGAGTTGAGGACGTTAGACGACTCTCTGTGTTTGATCATCGTTGTCTCCGAAGGATTGCTGACATCCAGTGGCAACACCATGTTAGTAATGCAGAGGTTCGGCATCGTGTTTTCGGGCACAGAGACGATAGTGCAATTGGTGTCACCATCTTGAAACACTGATTTCGGTGGATTGGACATGTTCTACGAATGTCGTTCCAGAGAATTCCACGTCGTGCATTATTTGCCGACTCTGGGACTGGTTGGAAAAAGCGGAGAGGTGGTCAGTATATGACATGGTGTCGTGGTATGAAAGAAAGTTGTAGAGGGCTGGCTTCTGTTGGCCCTTCACGACTCCCATGCTGCGGTCTGAGAGATGGTGCGACACAGAGGCTACAGACGTTATCAAGTATGGCTCAGAATAGAAGCCAGTGGCGATCCTGCTGTAACCTTCTTTTACTTTCTTCATAAAAAGTGGTTGTGTCTCCCTTAACTGAGGGAATTCCTCCGGTCGTACCTTTCCGTTTCCCCCATTATTGTTACACTAATCTGTGGTTGTTATTGTTTTTTTTCTTGTACGCACCTTACCTTCTTTTTTCTCTCTCCCCATTCTCATTATTTTGTGTGGCGCATATATATTTGGTGCCCATTTGTACCAATATTTACGTGTTCAAATAAATAAATAAAATTACATTTGCCACTTTACCTCTATTATCCCTCATGCAGCATGGCTCGCTGACTATTATTCACTAACCAACTATGTCCTAGATTCTTCTCTATAATTGTCGCAAAGCGCTATCCATTCTCTTGTTGTCTGCCTCCAGTTCACGGCGCAATGTGTCGTTGGTCTGTGGCTTTTCATTTTCCTTCACCATTCCATATTAAAGCTTGCTTTCTGATTCAGTTTGATGACTTCTGCAATGTGTTCTACACACCTCTAAAGTCTTTTCCTAATTACCTCCTCAGATCGAGGCTGGTCCGTTCTATACCACAGCAGGTAGTTACTGTTCATACCCGGTCAACCGATATGATGCATCTTGTGTAGATAACTGTTTGTAAAAATCTGAAAGATTTTCATGATGGTTGTAGTAGTTCTACAAGTTTTAGCCCCACACAACAGAACTGTCTTTACGTCTGTATTGGAAACTCTGACTTTGCTGTTGGCTGACAGTCCTCTTCATTTTCAAAATTGAATAGGAAGTCGGAATGCTGTATTTGCTTTGCCCTAATCACTATTGATAGGTTCCACAAATGAGTCGAAACAATCTAGAAAAGGCTTGGAAAATATACTCTATTTGAGAAAGAATTCAGTATCATCATCACACTTAAGCTTGTACACAATTCCCACACTGAATATAGATAATAATAATAATAAGGGGATAATATTGAACTCTGACTAGAACAAATTGAAATAGTAAATTACATCATATTTTTATAAATTAAAATCTGTGTTGGTTAAAAAAAAGTAAGCTGTAAAATCACGACACATGTTTGTTTTTTAAATATTACCAGGAAAGAAAAACATAATCACAATCTTGTATTTCAAAGGATTAGTACATGAACATATATAACCTGAGGCGTAAAGTGAGTTTACTCTATACACAGAAATAGGAAATAAATTAAGAAATATTACACGACGATTTTGAAGAGGTATTATGACGTGTTGTTCTAGATGGTTGTGAATGAGATGTTCGACTGGAAAGTGATTCAGATAATGCTAAAGCCAGTTGTAAATCTTCTTCTTCCTGAAGTTCACGGGAATTTACACTATATGGCAGTGAAGTAGCAACAGGTGATGATGAGTGAATCGTGTTTGTTGGCGATACATTCTACAAATTATCAGAAAGAGACCATTTCGGAAGGATAATGTGACAAGAAGAATACACAATTGAAATTCGCATTGTGAAAATTTAAAGGCATTAAATATCAACCCACTGATCATTTTCACTTGCACTAAGACTTATCAACTGTATAAAAAACTGACTTGAGAAGGAGGATTGGCTAGTCACTCTTCACGCTTCATCTGAAATATTCCGATCTAACAGTCTAGGAATTTTGCTGCTTGGTAACATAACATTATAAAATGAGTTTCGTTGTCAAACTTATTTAATTTTTCTCATGAAAGAAAGGGTGAAGATATTAAATTATCATTACGAAAATACTGTCCATTTGATCACATAATCACTGAGTCTTTCACAATTGATGACAAGATTCTGTTTGCTTAAAATTGCAAGCTAGGCTTCGACGGGACACCAGGTGATTTGATATACATCATACAATCAATGTGGAAGCAGCTCAATCATTAGTTTACATAAAAATCAAAGTAATAAACTTAAGTGACTACCTCATTGGTTGTCGACAGCCTTTCTAAGCTATAAAACATTACCCAATCAAAAAATCTCAATGATCCAACAGAGATGCATGTGCATAGTTAGGTGAATGTTGGTTGTGGAGTGAGTGATGAAATCAGTCTACATATAGTGGAAGTTAGAGAGATTAATGTCGACCTGGGTCATCTCTGGTGTCGTTATAACGTTAGTCTGGTTGTATAAGGTCGGTTTTACAACACTTTCACATTATACTTGTGACACCTGGCTTCCGAGATGAGGATCTTCGACGGCTTTGTCCGATTAATTTTGTTTCAGAATTGTTTACATCTAGCGGCGACAATGTTAGCAATGCCTATGTTATGTTATTTGGTCTCACAATATTTAAGCATCAGTTTCGGTAGCTCAGTCATCCTTTACAAATTCTACCCAAGCGGCTTAGATATCGCACATTACTTCTCGACGGTAGGATTGGGTCAAAAAAGCAAAGAAACGGTCAGTTTACGACATAGCACTGTGGAATGGAAGATAACTTACAGAGATGGAGTCTATTGGTTCATCACGACTCACAAGTTGGGGCACTGGAAATGGTGGAATGCAGTGACTCGAAACGTTATCGCATACGACTCGGAATAAAGACCAGTGGCGACCCTATTTTAGTCTTCTGTAACAATCTTCATACAAGTGACACGGAACCCCTTCACTGAGAGTTTATCTTGGTTTGATTTTCAACTGAGCTGGATTTCTGATTACGTACTGTTGATGTTCACTTATTTATTGACTGTACTATTCTTCTCTATATTTCTTCACAACATGGTGACTTTATTTGTGTGCCGTATTTTCGGTGCCTAATTGTACCAGGATTTATCTGTCTATATAAATAAGAGGCTATGGCCGAATATGTTTGTAGTACAGATTCCTACATCCCAATCAGCCAGTCACTTACAACCTAGGACCAGGCACATATGTGCAACAGCCCAAGTTGCCACACTGACTCATTAGCACAACAAGATTAAAACCGGATTCATAGAAGTAGTTAATTCAATGGTGGTAATATATAAAATAAAGATTGTATATAAGGATATAGTACATGAAGAAAGAATTAGTTCGTAAAAATAAAGATATAAAGCAATTTTGATCTCATATTTTAAGGGAAGACAGAGTGTATACACCTAGGCCATTGTGACCGATTCTGAGCCATGTCATACCTTTAACGGCACTCAAGACCACATCCCAATCTGTAAGGTATGATATGAAACAATTCCTTTCTTATAATATACTCCATTCCAATCATTTGTTTATCGACTAGATTATGTTTGTAGGCAAAATAATCAAACTTTCACATGTGGTACTTTAATGCAAAAAGAAGAAGGTTGATTTATAAATTATACTTATAGTCAAAATGACAAATAAGATTACCCTTTCCAACCTTCACATACATATAAGCGAACAGAACAAAAAAATTCACCTTCGAAATCGAATTTGTATTGAAATTGCTAAAGATAGCTCTATAAAGAGCTGCTGCACCAGAAGTTGACAACTTTCTAGAATTATTCAGATTTTGTTGAAATCCCTTACAATCATGATCTAATTCATTACGATGCGAAACACAGAAATTTAATTTGCATCTATCACAAACAAAAGGTATAAGTTCTTTCTTTTTACATCGTGGGACACAACAAGCATTTGTGAATAACTACAAACAAAAAAGAGAACAAAATTATGTAATAATCTCAACTGAGAAAAAAACACAAATATACACATATTTATGTCCGGACATTCAGCGTACTCATATTAATTGTTTCTCTGGTTGTCAGAAGGGCATCGGCCTCGTGATTTTCGGAGAACCTCAGCTTTCACCATGAGGCGTCATAACCTTTTAAAATGATCGTTCAACTCTCAGGACAGATTTTAAATAGTTGAAATGACTTTTTCAGTTAGCGTTTTTACAGGAAAGGTTTTTACGGGACGGGGTCGCTATCTTTATGCCTAGATTTTCCGGACTTGGAGTCAGAAATAACCCTACTGGGGCTTTGGATAGAGTTGACCACTAAACTACTGCTCCAATAATCAATCCAATCAAAAATTCAAACTGAATTATGGTTGTAATTTTTTTATAGTTATTACTTATAGGAATTAATTACATTCACCTGACTCCTGACACGATTTTGTCACTTTGACTTCATTGAATTTCAAGAATGAGACAACTGTATATTGAATGGCCGGTTTGTTTATTTGAAAACATCTTTGTTTCTGTAACTAGTGTCATCTAGTGGTTTCTTTTATCAGTCACAGTTGTCTAATTTGTTTGCGAAATATAGATTCTGTGTTCAACAAAACTTTTTGAAGAAACTTACAGTATAATCATTTTTCTAGCTTAAATGTCGTTAAGACTAATACCGAAGTAAGTAGTGTTTATGCGTTAATGATTTACTTTTACAACTTATTACTCTGTTTCGCATCTATTCTCCCTGCATTTCCAAGCAAAATATGCCACTTAGTATGTGAATTTCCACTAACTAAATCAGTATGACTTGAATACAGGAAAGTTATTTAAACCATTTGGCAACAGGCTTGATAACTTTCTTCATCTATAAAGATTCATTTGAAAAAACTGAACTGTTTACATTCACTAATTATTTTACTATCAGGTCAGAGATTCAGAAAAAGGGGTCTTGTTTCCGACAGTTTGTATTTTAAAGAGAATTGGATAAAATTATGTCATGTATGCTAGTTAAATTGATCAAAGTTTATAAGGATGGTTAACAACACTTAATCTCTAATTATAGATAACAACAATAATATCACTATAGATAATTCTCGGTATAATTTCTAAAACTGAGACTTTTTAGGAATTTAAACAACCAGATGAATATCAAGAAAAGTAAGACTACTACATGTTATGAAAATGAGCGAAACAGATTAAGATTAATGATAAGAAACAAACAAATGGGAGCGTAACTAAATGTCTGACTTATCGGTGCATAGTTTACCGGACTCATCCTGTAAAGAAGAGAACCTACGGTATAATCTCCGTTGACAATGATTTCGAGTTATTCCCAACATTTTAAGCCACTGACTTCATAGTTCCTGCAACCTTAGTATGAAGGTAACAGCGGAAACTAACCTGGGAAAACTACTCTTCATCTCACTCCAGACACTATGAACAGATTATGTCTTTGCATCGTCCAAACAACAATCAAATTAGCTGAAGCGGTGTGGGTAACATGTGAGCAAGCTATCATATCTTTCGAGATGATTTTCTATGGTCAATAGCATTTTATGCTGTGTCTGCAACGCATATTGATGGGTCTTACAGTGTATTGAAATTTTCACTACCCAATAACAAAGCAGACTGATGAATAATTACATGACAAAATCTCATAGACGTTACACAAAACAACAGTTAGATCAAAGTCTCAACCCATCATTAGCCAGTCTATATCGTCACATACTGTTATGGCTTCTAATACATAAAGGTTGATTTTTCCTTCAATCGAACAGTCTTCAATATTTAGAATACCATAGTGTTTGAAGTGAGAATAACATTTCGAATGTTAATCAAGTAGCTAAAAAATTGGTTATATATGAAACACCCTGTGGTGATATTTCCCGGAATTCACTAATTTTCAGGAAGTCAACTGTGATTCAAGATTTTACACTAAAATCAACTCAACTAGTACCATGAATGTGAATGTAATGACCGTGGAGTATTATTTCATAACAATGACACACACAACTGACCAATATTATTACATACGACTCTAACAGACCGGAATTTCGCCAACAGAAATTGAATTTAAATGCCATAAACTCATCCACACTAGTTTATAGGTTACGGTAGGTAACCCTTTAAAAACTCTCTTACAATATAAACTATTACGCTATGGAAATTCCTGCAAAGGTAGAAATAATAATTCGGTGATTATTAGTCAAAATTTACAATGGTCTATTTGAAATCAACCTCAAATTAACTGGGAGTATTTCAATATTTTGACACCGTACTGTTGTGTTTTCAAAGTAAATGCAGAATACAGACAAACAATGTGTTCCAAACACACAAGAGGATAAAGTTATAGCATCCGCATCAATGGGGTCGATTTTGGATACCATGTTGTCTCTAACTACAGAACATGGTTATTTCACAGACTCCAGACAAAAACTATGCATGCCCAACACTTATTCTGGATATCTCAATTAATAAAGATTTACAACCTCACCATCCAATTCTTCATACTTACTTAGCACCACTAGGCCTAAAATCTATGATCCCTCTAAAAAAGTTTGTTGACAGACTGAGTTGATGACTTTTATGCCTAAATGTATTACTGTATGCTCATAACTCATTCTAACCGAATTGACACATACTGAGGTAGCAGTAGACAATTATGCATCTAATGCCATAGTAAAAACAAATCTTATTGAGGACAGTATAAAATCGGAGCATTATAAACATTACGTCAGAAATAATGGACCACTAACCTTTCCTTTTAACTCTAAAGCTGGCTTTGACCGACAATCTGTGTCGATATGGTTTCCAACTTTTACATCTGGAAGCTCGCCTGGTTTCAGAGGGACTATGGTTCCGCACAAGGGACACACAGGAACCTGCTTATCCTTAAGATCGGGACTTTTACAGTTGTGACTATCGTACAGATAGTGATTCTTGCAGAAAACACCATGACATCCAGAACATCGAACGGGTAAGAAATCTAGAATAGTATAACTTGGGAATTCACACGTACCAAGCATTCGACAAGTTGGCACTGAACAGTTAGCTCCTAGATTCGGGAACTCCATTAACGAAAATTGGGAGCTTAGTGATAATGAGTTTAATATATGATAAACAACTCTTACTTCTTTAAATCAAAATGACAATTAGGAATTTGTTAACTCATATATATAACATTAAAAATAGATGGGTCTAACAGTCAACTTGAGAAGACTGATTATATAATTACCCACTTCTATTGAAATTTCATGGAACAAAAAATCAAATCGTCTCTAAAATAAAAAATAATAGATGATCGAAAAGGCAAAATTAATTTAAATTTACACATGTTGCAGACCATCTAGTAGACTCGTTAATCTCTTGCGATGTAGTTAGCAAATATTAAGAGAAAGACACCTAGAGAATTACTAACTAGTTAGTAATCGTTGCCACAAGGTCAAAATATTTACTCAAAGTACTCAGTGTATTAATGTAGTTTTCATACCCAGTGGCTTCCGAGTGCCTGACATTAAAGTCAGAGGTATCTGACGAAGGTCGCGCGCTATTGAAAAAGAACAGTGGAATTTTTGCTGCGAGTATATTTAATAGTATTAATCGTTAAATTACGCACCAAGACTATTGTTTTTCCTTTAACTGAATTTATTTCAGTTAAAGTAATCCCCAAGAGTACTGCTTTTTCTCTAGAGAAGTTTATCATCTGTACTTTATGAGTACAGATACAAAATAACCAAAAGCACTGATATTTATTCTTCATCGTTGAGTATAACTTTGAGTACTGTTTGCATCCATAGGTGTTAAGGTCTTTTTGTAACTACAGAAGTCGGTTTTGTTCATTGTTGTTAAATACATTTATTTTTCTTATACATAAACATAAAACAAATTTATGGCGCAACTGAAACATCGTTGTAGCAGACCGGTATGCTATTTCCCTGTCGACGATGGGACGCGATGTGATAACTGTAATAAGTGGTATCACAATGTGTACACCGGACTCACACCGAATGAATATACGGTGCTGCAAGCTATTGTCACCTTGGTTGTGCAAAGAATGTTGCTCTACAAAGTCTCTGCTGATTCTACAGGTGATTGAGCTGCTAAATATAGCTAGAAAAAAGCCCTCAGATAAACAGGCAGAAGTAGATGAACAGAATTCCGCTTTCGAGGAAATTGAAAGCGTTATCATGAGCCCAGATCTAGATCTAAATGAGACCATAAAGGTGGACTCAATCAGAGAAGTATATAAGCATATGAATGTAGGCCTCGTCACAAGAAAAAAAAGCGCGCTAGGAAGAAACTACCTATAGGCAGTACTGAGGCATGTGAATCTACGTTTTCAGTTCGGGATTCACATATCAATGCAATACAAACTAAGAGGGAGCCAAATCTGAGAGGTGTAGAGGATGTGATCAAGAGACAAAATAAGGTAGATTAGTGACTCAGTCACCCCTAGGGAAAGAAAAACAGAATGTAACCTTTGCGTTTGACGCTGAATTGGATTCGGATTGCAGGGAAGAGACGATTTCAGGAAAAAAAATTCCACAGCGTGTTAAAACGGACTTCGCTGAGAGGTCAGTCATTTTTCATAAGTTAAGAGAGTCTTCCGATAAAGAACCAAAAGCCAGATTTGAGCACTACCTCAGTCATATTAGGTCCTTGATAAACAAGCTACTCGCAGGAACAGTTTCAGGAGTTAGCATCTGTAAGCTTTATAGATGTTAGCGGGACATAGACTAGATTAAAGCATGCTCAGTGCACGATTGCTTCGGTGCACGCTGATTGGCTAATTCTCATGCAATCAGCATTAGCCGATAGTTGGAGAATACTCTAGAATCTTCTCATGTAAAAACTACAAATATACTAACGTTTTCTCTATTGTGCTTCTTACTTGCACTTTACTTCTATCTAACCTTGTTATTTGGAATATAATCTCTTTCCTGTTCAATCGTGTTCTGATTTGGGGACTTGTCGAGTGATTTGGTGTCCAAGAATACTAAGTAATAGGAATAGCTGGGTTATAACCGTAAGAAAGAGAGGTTATAACAATAGAATAGGACAAAAGGTGGATTCTTAAATTGCTCAAAAAGCCCGCATCTTGAAGGTTACCTTTGCTACGGTTGAAGAAAGAGACCTGATACTAGGAAACTCACGCAAACTGATTGGATCCAGAATATACGTCCGTGAGGATCTCAGCCAGGTTGATCGTATTAAGAGATGAGCTACAGAAGTAGAAATAAATGAGAGCTGCGGAAACGGTGGAAGAAACATGGTTCTTAAGGGTTTTCAAATTGTAAAAGTTCGGATCAAAACAATCCCCAAACCACTCTAGGTGGTAAGAGAAAGTTCTCCACAGAATTGAAGGTATGCAACACAAATGCTCGCGGTCCACTAAATAAAACTGCGGAGCTCAAAAGAATGGTGGATAAAGAGAAACTAGATGTTATTGCTGTCTCAGAAACATGGTTAACGTCAGAAGTTTTCGATAATGTCAGTCAGTCAGCTACAACGTAGGACCAGGCACATGTGTGCATCGGTCCAGGTTGCCATACCGCATCAGCACAACAGGATGAACACCAGATTCATAGCAGTGGTTGGGTCAAAGGTGGTAATATATAAGAGAAAGATTGCATATAGAGATATAGTACAAGAAAGAATTGGTTCGTAGAAAGAAAGATATGAAGTGTTTCTAATCTCTTAGTTTAAGGGAAAACAGAGAGTGTATACACCGACGCCATTGTGATCGATTCTGAGCCATGTCACCAAGGATCTCTAACAATTGGTTACGATAGTCACGCGGACCCCAACCAAGTAGTCTGCATCTACCAACATGGCTCAGACTAGAAGTTATTGTCTTCAAGCACTGATGCCACGTTTTGATTTGGCCGCCCCTAACTTTCGATAATGAAATTCAATTGGCTGGTCTTTTATTCAATAGGGTTGATAGATTGAATCATAGAGGAGGCGGGGTTATCCTGTACACGAAAAGTACCTTAACCATACGAGCAGTTGGGGCATTGGCACATGATTCAGGGACGTGAACTGGTGCGTTGCAAGCTGAAATGTAGGCGGCAAAATATTGAATTAGTTGTAGTATATCGTAGTCCAGAATGTGTAGTAGATGACTTCCCCCTAAGCAAAGTTAAGTCCCGGTGTAATAGGGGTAAAAGCGTTATAATAGGCGACTTTAATGCACCGTAGATAGACTGGGTAAACTTAGAAGTATGGTCATAGATAACGTTATTCGATTGCAAACTGATAGAAACCTCAATTGCATTAGCTTTATTACAACACATAAAAGATCCCACGAGATATGAATTAAGAAGCTATTCTTCTCTTTTGGATTTAGTCTTCACACACGGTGATGACGTTGGTCAAATGACTTTGCTCCCACCACTAGGGAGAAGCGATCATACAGTCATATTATTCGAATTCATGGCTGAGATTGCCTGTCGCGCCCGCCAATCCTAACATATGGAAGGCAGATATGGAGGCAATAAACTGTACAACATCGACTAAAAACTGGGAAATTGACTCATCGGCATCAGTAGAAAAGGCACACTAATTTCTGGCGGTTAACCATTTATACACTAGACAGTTCCAAAGAAGAAGCACGGCCACACCTGGATAGGCCGGGATATTAGACGTTTACTAAGACTAAAGAAGAAATGTTGGGATGTGGCTATTAGCTTTGGCACAGCAGGTACGACGGAACGCTACAGTTCGGCAAGAAACACGTGTATAATTAAAATTCTGGAAGCTCAGAGAAAATATGAAATGCATTTGGTACAACCTGCACTTAAGCAGCCTAAGAGAATATTCTCGTACATAAATTACAGAACAAGGACACATTATTGGGTTCCCAACCTAATTAAAGAAGAGAGCGAATCTGAAATGATAGACGAAGATCAGGTAAAGTAGAGGATATGGTTAACTATTTTGGAGTAGTTCTCACTCAGGAACCTCTTCTAGACAAAGAACGAGACCCAAATACAAAACCAGCAAACCGCCTACTCACCGTGGACTTTAAGACGATGAACTACACCTCTAAATCCTGAGACATATTGCACGATATATCGCAGCCCCACTGACCGTGATATTCAATAAGTCACTTGAACAAGGTGTGGTACCTACGGACTGGAAGGATGCAATCGTCACTCCAATACATAAAACAGGGCCAAGACAACTTCCATCGAACTACAGACCTGTAAGTCTTACCAGTGTTGTAGTTGAAATAATGCGAAGAATAGTCAAACAGACCATAATGACATTTGTGGGAACCAATAACCTGTTAAACAGCGAACAAAATGGTTTAACTGGTCTAAAGAGTGGCTGATGCCTATCAATGCAGTGAAGTGTCTTCATTCATTTTTTGGATACAAATGTTAATAGGTACAGCATAAGGGAAATGCATGTACCATTCATCTGCTCTCATAAGGATGTTGATACGTCAGTGAGTCATGATCTTAAGACGACAGCCGATTGCCAGAAAGTGGGAGTTAAGGAGTTTAGAACCCTCTGGGATTTTAAACGGACATTCACTAAGTTAGATACTACCATGTTCACTACAGTATACGAAACCTTAGTGAGAACTAAGCTTGAGAACTGCATTAAGGCTGAAAGCCGTTGTTTGAAATGTGACTCGGATATCCTGACAAAAGTACAGAGGGCAGTTACCCGTGCTACTCCAGAACTCAGGGGTTTACCATACAAAAAGCGGCTTCAGAGGCTGGACCTCTTTACTCTGTCCTATAGCAGACTAAGGGATCTAATTTTGATGTATAGAATACTAACGGACTAACTGTTAACCTTTGAGAGGAAAATTATGTACTTCCGATTCGTTTTAAAATCATGGTAGTGTATTCGAATTGGGATTACCAATTGTAGCGTGGCGTCGAGTTGAGATTAACTATGAACACCGCTACAGAGAAACACGTGCCAAGCGAATCAGAAGGCGTAAGAAGCTCGTTTCAAATGACTCCATAAAATCCCCGAGAAGCCAAATATCAGAAGACAGTTAATGGACCAAGTCGAGGTTTATTAGCTGGCGATCTCGTGGCATCGAAAGGATACC